GCACGGCCAATCCACCCTAACCTGCACATCCCTGGGCACTATGGGACTATTTAGCACGGCCAACCCACCCTAACCTGCACATCCCTGGGCACTATGGGACAATTCAGCACGGCCAACCCACCATAACCTGCACATCCCTGGGCACTATGGGACAATTTAGCACAGCCAATCCACCATAACCTGCACACCTTTGGACTGTGGGAGGAAACCCACGCAGACACGGGGAGAATGTGCAAACTCCACACAGCCAGCTGCCTGAGGGTGGGATTGAACCAGGGCCCCTGATGTTGTGAGGCAGCAGTGTTAACCATGGAGCCACCGTGCTGCCCCATTTTGTTTTGGAATAGACTCTTCTTCCCAGGTACTCACTTTGAGAATGGGTTCATTTTTCCTGCCAGTTGTTAACACCACCCACCCTGGGGCCAATGAACTTAGAAGCACGTGAACAGGAAGGGTTTAGAGGGATATAGGCCAAGTGCGGGCAAATGGGACTAGATTTATTTCGGATATCTGGTCAGCACGGACAGGTTGGACCGAAGGGTCTGTTTCTGTGCTGTACAACTCAATGACTCTATTTCAAATGTGGCCATTGTTCAGGGACAGGAGATGTGAGGACATGAGGCATGTTGACAGAATGCAGCATCAGAAGGGCCTCAGCTCCTGACCTTTTCCAATAGGAGCAAGGTACTCGCTCCCAGTATGGATGGGGGAATGGACTGGAGGGAGGTTCCCCAGATTGCACTGTGGGACAGCAGGCCATTCAAATGGGTTGGGGGGGATGTGTGTGCAGGTTTGGAGGAGCAGAAAGTTAAACTAGTTGTGGCAGGGGATTGTACGATGACGGAGGCAGAGAGCATCTTTTGTAAACAGGATCGAGAGTCCCACGCAATGTGTCACCCACCCGGGGTCGGAAAGTGTACAATCTGTGAGGGGGTAGAGACGAAGAACCGCAAAGGAAGAGAGACCCTGATGGGAGCTGTGTACAGGCCTCTGAGCAGGAGTCAGGACCAGGTTGTCCGTGGGGGGAACAGAAAATAAATGAGGAGATCACGAAGGGACGAAAGAAAGGTACTGTTACAGTAATCGGGGTGGGGGTCTTCAATAAGCAGGGGGACAGGGAAATGGATCCCGGTGGTCGAAGGCAGCATCAGTGAAAAGACTAGGCCTCAGCTAGGCCCGAGGCCTGTGTGGGAGGCTGAACGTTTCATGCAACTTCATTGAAATGGGACTTGAAGATCTGGGTATTTTTCCTTCTTGTGTTTTCTCTTTCCTTTTTGGCTCTGTTTCTTTTATCGTGTTTCTGCTGTTGATGTTTTTCTTCCCCCCCAAGCCCCTGTAAATTTCACTTTCGTAGCCGGGAGTGGAGCGAGAGAGTGGCGACTTTGGCCACTTTTCACGGTACTCCCGCGTTCCTATACTCGAGCGCACATGACAATGAAATCCAATTCCGAATCCTAAAATCGGGCTCTCAGGAAAGGGAATTTGTGGAATGTCTACCAGATGTTTTTTGTTTGAGGTGGGGAGCAGTTTCCAGTAGGGAGCAGGCAGATCTGGAGTTGGTGACGTGCGAATGAGGCAGAGTTGATCAGGGGGCTGAACGTGGAGGAACTCCTTGGAGGGGGGGCAGGGACAGTAGCACGATAGAATTTACCCTGCAGTTTGAGAGGGAGAAGCTGCGCTCAGATGTAGCAGCATTACACTTGAGTGAAGGGAACTCCAAAGACGTGAGGGAGGAACCGGCCTGAGTTGACTCAGAAGGGGAGCCTAGCCGGGAAAATGGTGGAGCAGCAAGGGCAGGAGTTTCTGGGTTAATTCAGGGGGACGCAGCAGGAATTCATCCCAAGGAAGAAGAAACAGACGAAGGGGAGGACGAGACAACAGTGGCTGACAAGGGAGATCAGGGGCAGCACAAAAGGAAAAGGGAAAGCACACAGTGAGGTGAAGATTAGTGGGCATTCAGAGGATTGGGAAGCCTTTAAAAACCAGGAGAGGACAAGTAAAAATGCATTTGGGGTCGGGTGGGTGTGGGGAGAAGGTGAAATGTGAGGGGAATCTAGCTAGTGATATCAAAGAAGATTGCAAGACTTTTTTCTTGGAAATCTAGAAAGGTAAGAGAGCAAAGAAATGGGGGAGCGAAGAATGGGCTGTGGAAATGAATAGATACTTTTCCAGGGCCTTCACGTTGGGAGACATCAGCACACAGCAGAACATCAGGAGGGTCAGAGGTGAGTGTAGTGTGGCCACCGCTAGGGGGAAGGTGCTGGAGAAGAGAAAGGTCTGAAGGTGGGATAACTCCCCCCCCCAGGACCATGCAGACTCCAGCCCAGAGTTCTGAGGGAGATTGAGGAGGCATTGATGGTGATCTTCCAGGAATCACTAGAGTCAGGGAGGGTCCCAGAGGATTGGAAAACGGCGAATGTACCACCCCTGCTGCCTAAAAAGGGAGAGTGGGGCAGAAGACAGGAAAGTATGGCACGGTTAGCCAGATCCCAACCATTGGTGAGATGTTAGAGTCCGTTATGAAGGAAGAGATTGTGGAATATTTGGAATTGGATGGTAAAATAGTGCCGCGTCCTGGGGAGGTGAAATCTGTGAGAAATCTTTGAGGAGATGACAAGCGAGTTGGACTAAAGGAGGTGCCAATGGCTGTGATCTGTTTGGATTTGCAGAGGGTCTTCCACAAGGTGCAGGACAGGAGGCTGGTGGGTGAGATAAGACAGAGGGACAGGTAGTATTGAGGAAGCAGGGGTAGGTGCAGAAGGACTTGGACAGGCCAGGAGAATGGGCAAAGAAATGGAGGAAGGAGTACAGTGTGGGAAGTGTGGCATTTGGTAGGAAGAATAGAGGTGTAGACTATTTTGTAAACAGGGTAAGGCTTCGGAAATCTGAAGCACAAAGGGACTTGGGAGTCCGAATTCAGGATTCTCTCAAGGTGAACATGCAGGTTCACTTAGCAGTCAGGAAGGCAAATGCAACGTTAGCATTCATTTCACATGGGCTAGAATACAAGAACAGAGATGAACAGCTGAGGCT